AAATGAATGACACTTGACAAATTGTATATTATGAAACAAAGTATTATTATCTACAAAATACAAGCAAGATTTATTCGTCCGAAATCCGCGTGTGTTCCTAGCACGAATACGTTTCCTTATTTCATGAGACCACTGCATCGCGAAGGATCGTCATGGATCGTTCGTAGTTCTGAATTAGGGCATGCTGTCACAATGGAATTGTGAAGCTCTTCTAACTTTTGCAACGTTCTGAAATCTTGTTAAGAACACCCAAACTCTTTTGCCTTTTCTTAATCTTGGCAAGTTCAGAGTAAACTGAGAATTATATGAAACACAATCAAACCATATAACTCCATAAGACATAACAATTAAGCAACTCCCCAGAGACATGCAACATTTTTGGAACAAAACGTAACAAAATAGTAGCGTTGATACGGTGATGTGTTCTGCAAAAAGCAATATTATTTCCTTCAATAAAGAATAATATTCATCCTGCTCTAACCGAGAAATAATCAACTCAGTATGTTTGAACCCATTAAAAACATAAAAAAATTAGGCTATTTAAGAAAAATTTAAGCGCCTGCCTTCCATGGTCAGTCTTTCATGTACTTTTAAGTTTGTAAAGACCTAATATTAAATACTTGCATAATTTCGAACGCTCATATTTCAGGAAACAATGAGCTAAGACTTACATGTAAGATGTTTAAATCTACGCCATATACCTAGACAAACCCTAACGATAATTCGCTGAAATACAAGTTAGCCTGATATGTCATTAAGCAAACAAACGCTGGAGTTAATATTTGATATGCCGATTTTCGCTAATTTTAGACACATCCCAAAATATGCTCCCGATTCTGAACATTAATATCTCCGTGAATTTTTAAGTAAAATACAACTGTAATATATCAAAATCTAAGTTAGTCCTTCCTCTATTTAATGCAAGTTATTTCTCTTTAAAAGCTTTACTTGTTTAGTAGTTATTACGAATCAAACAGGAGTACTTTTTTTGGGGACACCCGGTATATTAGTCCAATATTTATTATATATACAAGTCAGATGAGGAAATGTCGCTTTTAAACGCCTGGTGATCAATTTGCTTGAAATTTCCTTAACAATTAAATTGAGCCTAGGAATGGCTATCTTACATTCGATAGTTATATGATCAGACAGAGCCAGAGTTGGTTTGATCTCGGAAATTAGCACGTCATTAACTGACCTCGTGATTATAAGATGAAGACTATGTCCTGAGTTATGAGTGGAAAAAGTAACATGTTGAGTGAGACCAAATGTTTCCAAGACGTTACAGAACTTCTTAGTGTTATTATCTTTAGCGGAATCCAGATGGAAATTGGAGTCGCCCGAAATAAGTAACAGCTCAGTTGACGTTACAACGCTTTCGAGATAGATGGAAAATTCCTCAAAGAACAAGCCAGAAGGTATATAAAGTGCAGTCGACGAAGGCGCGGGGGCGATAAACAGCAACCAATTTGATAACACGACTCATTAAGGTAATATTCCATGCAGATAATTCAAAAGATCTCTACTCATTAGCATCAACCAGTTTAGTCCTCATCATGCTCTTGAACATTAGTCCGAGACCCCCGCCAGATCTGCGCCAGAGCTGGCAGCCTTCTGCCACAGAAGCATGTGAATCACATACATCATCCTTGCAGGTATTTTCTTTAATTGGTTCAGCTGTCTTTGGTTTCCTATCTTCTTTCAGTTCGGCTGTTTTGTGCATTGCATTGTCATAGCTGGGGATGGACTATCTCCAAAGGTCAAAACGATATTAACATACACGTCTGTTTCTTGATCTGTTTCAATATTGCGCCATAGAAACCGATGGATATGCTGATCTGAAAGTGGGATTGAAATCCTGTGATACATTTTGAATATGTCATCAACAACAGCTACTTCTTTTTCTCGAAATCGTGGCACTACTCCAAAGAGATTGTTAAGCAAGTCCGGTCCTTTGTACCAATACTCATTTAAACTGTGCCCATTGTAAGATGCAGAGCTGTTAAAGACAATTCTAGCCGGAGTGCGTTTCTTTTCTGGGCGAACAACGGCGTGGCGAGCAACGTAATTGACGGATCCTTTCCATTCTTCGATTTCAACTTTCGTCAATTTCCGAGCGAATTGCATCCTTTCGATTTCTTGCATCTGCTCATCATAACTTTTGGCATGAGCAGGCTGTTTACTGAGCCGACGTTCAGTGGACTCCATTTTCTTCGATACTTTTCTTCAACGGGTAACTCATAGTCCATTTCTTTTCTTCCAAATTACACAAATCTTCATTCAGCTTTGATCACTTTTGTTCTTCTGTTGTCATTTTGTTGCGTGGGCACTTGCATGGGAAAATTGATACTCCCATCGCCTCGGTTGTCCAAAACTCAGTGAGATCAATTGGTGCGGCTAGACGGACATTCATAACTTGGTTTGCTTGCTTAGTTTTTTCTTTGTTTCTATTTATTCTCTTGTAAAATATTAATACTTTGTATATAAATTGACGACGCCCCTCATGAAAACTTATGTTGATGAGGCTAGCGTCATGAAATAAATTTTTACGATAGGATACGATACGAAATTTTGATACCACTGTTCATCGTTGAATAGAGCAGTAACCAGGTCGTAGCGAATGACTGTCCTTCGATGAGTCCATACCTCTCGAATTCGTGGCGGGTGAATATAAGATAACACAACATTTACGCGAAAAAACAACTCCTTTCTTCTTTTAACGTACTTTTCTAGTATTGAAGTGGGTTTTCCCCTCGATTTTCGGCTGATATAATAATCTTCTTCTTTTCAATAAATATAATAATTCTATTTCTGTCCGACATCTTTGAAAATATACCGTCGTAAACGGAAAGTAGAGGTGCCGTTCTCCGATGGGCACGGTGCTTATCATAAAAGTGTGTCTACAAAAAGTTGTCGTGTAAACGAGTAACTAGCGAAGTGGGAGTTTTGACACAGTGCCCATTTTCAGGGGTGCCGTGCCCAATACACTTGTCGTGTAAGCCGGCCTATAGAAAGGCTTTTTCTGCGGCCCACGGTTGGACAATAAGTAATATTTCAAATCCGAGTTAGTGTTTTAGACGTGGTTTCTAAATACAAATGCCATGAACAATGGCGAGGCGCAGCCGAGCCATTGTTCATGGCACTGGGGATTTGGAAGTCAAGTTTAAATCACTAACATGGATTTGAAATTGCTTCTCACACATCATTAGACTTTCATAGCAATGAGGCATGAAATTATTAGATATTCAAAAGAGTCAGCGTGGGACATTAACGATTACATTCGCTTGAAAGTTTGCATGAAGTGTACGAAGCATTCAGTTCGCTTTCGTCGTGAATAGATGAATTTTGTTGGTAAAAGAGCATGGCATCTTCTTATAATATAAGAAAGCGGTTTCGAGAACCAGAAAGTGTTGAACACAGTATTGAAAACCTAAGGAAAGCCACTCGCTGACAAGGTTGTGAGGTCAGATTGTGTGTGGGATAAAGGCCCTGTTACACGGTGCAATTTTTCATGCAACTTGTCTCGTAATGGCGTTGCGAGACAAGTTGCACGAGTCATTGCACCGTTTAACATGCCTTGCAATGGTCAAAATCGTTGCGAGACAAGTTGCATGAAGTATTGCAGAGAATAGAAGTCGGTTCTACTTTTTGCAACGATTGCGCTAATTATTTTAAGCGTTGCAGCGTGTAACATGGCTTCGTGCAACTTGTCTCGCAATGAGGAGGACCACGGAGTTATCAGTATTCGTACTGTCAAGTGTTATCCTCTATAAATAAAGTCTCTTATCTTATCTTATCTTATGTTTATAGCTTGGAGAGTTCCTATTGACTCTCCCCAGTACACGCTTTACTTTAATTAAAATCTGGCGCCAAATAGCGCCTCTACCTAGTCTCTTCGCATGCCTCTGTCCCCTATCGTTGCGAGTTGCATGAAAATCATTGTAGCGTGTGCTCTTGCAATGCATTATCAAAATCTTTTTATAAATATTGCGAGACAAGTTGCATGAAAAATTGCACCGTGTAACAGGGCCTTAAGGCGCTAGAGCCGAAGTGAATATATATATTAGTGGTAAGTTGAACATTACTGGTAAGTTGCTGTATTATTGCTGTAGTGTTTAAAGCGCTGTTTATTATGATAGTTTGTAAAAAAATGTAATTTTCCTTTTCCTATAGTTATGTATTTTTCAAACGTTCAGAAAAAGTGTTAGATGTAAAGTGCAGTTAGAAAAAAATTCTAAATACAGCTTACTGTATTTAGAAATAATTCTAAACATAGCAATTTAATAGATTTGCATAATCTTTTGTTTACCCCTCTATTTCCCTATTGTTCAAAGCCCTTCTCACTTGAAGTAATTGAAGTCCTGGTCTAGACGGGGTATCCAGATAGATACACGTGATGTAAATTACACCATGTCATTGACCGAAATGCTATGAATATCTAATGATGTGTGAGAATAAACATGCAACGCTTATGTCTTAAACTTTTCTAAAAGATCGAAACACAAAATGACAAAAAGCTTAATTCACTTATTCCTCAAACAAGTCTCAGTATGCATTGTCAGCAGCTTCGCAATTCGAATAAATTTTCAATTTTTAAGTGCTACACGACTATTCGTTTCAAGTGCATTTTCCCCTACACTTAGTAAAATCCGCTTAAAGATCGTAATATATGCGTCTAAAAGTGTATGAATTTGTAACGTTTTAGCAATTAATTGATTTCGTCATGTATCGACCGAATAGTGTGACTAAACTTAGAGATATATCTTCTACTATAATATAGTCATCCACCGTATATGAACTATTCTGTAATCTGATTTGTTGAACTACTCGACGTATGTATATCAGCTCATACACGGCTAGTAGCGAAAAACAAGATGACGGCACAAACACTGCAAGAGTTTTGCGAAGCAGAAGAAAGGAAAATATTCGCTTCAAAAAAGATAATAGTACAAGAAAAACCTCTCAAGCAAATTTGATAGGTTAGCAAAGTACATTTATTACGTAAACATTGGTGTGAATTATTGTTATTATGCGGTTTATTAAAGATGCTGTAAAGTCCTTTCTGCGCATCAGTTCTGCTCACAACAGAAGGGGACCCACAGATATAAACATTGCCCAAATGTTGCATCTTCCGAACTTTTTTGAACTGAAACGTACTCTAGTTAATTTATATTCATTTACAATAGCGAACCAGAAAAGTGTTAGGTATTTAGTTAGTAGGCTATATCATATTTTACAAATATAGCAGTTCAAATTATAAACAAAGCATTTGTTTACTTTATGGACTTTGCAGCATCTTTAATTAAGTACATGAAATAATTGCACCAATGTGAAATACTGAGAGTGTAAAAATTGTACATGCATTATTAAATGTTAAAAGGGTAAAAAAGATAGAATTATTAAAAATTATATTAAAGTTATTACAGCGTTAACCTATAGCGTTAGAATATTTAGTACATCCCGGGCGCGGGGCGTTCTATGTTATTGCATATATGTAAAGTTGAATTTTTATAAAATAAACTGATCCCAACCTCAAACCCTATCCTAACCCTAACCCTAACCAGCAACTGGCTAAACCGGAGATCCGAGTCTGTACACTTCTGAAACGAGATAGATTTACTTCGCACGCACGCAGCGCCTTGAAAGACTACGCTACCGGTAACCTCGCTGAAAACAATTTCAAAAAAAGATATAGTACTAAATAAGAGATCTAGTTATCCTAAAGCGCGCACTGACTAAGAAAGCCCGGGATGTAGTAAAATCCTCTTTAGGCAGTCTATCGATCCGACCACACTTCAAAGTGATCAAACTTTTAAACTTGTGTCTAAAATTAAGTTAAGAGCCTTAGATTTTGTAAAGAAATCGTACCTGTATTAAACCCGAACTTCAAACATTAACACAAAAATTACACTTCAGATATTCGCCCTCTAAATTGCATTTGCGTTGTCAATGTTTTCACAATTTGCTAATTCATCTAATTGTGATATTCTTCCAGAAATAATATACTTGCAGCCCTAGCTCGCTCTTCATAATCTATATTATTCATAAAAGGGTGTAACAATGCTTCATGAGCATATGGTCTATCACGAATCGTATGACTGATCAACGACGAAATAAACTGTCGAGCATCAGGACCATCAAGGGTGACCATGTAAACTGGATTTCCAGCAACAATATTTGTCATACGTTCATACTTAATAGAACCAAAGGGATGTCCACCTTTGGTTAAAATAAAGAAAGCAACCATTCCTGCAGATTGAATATCAGATTTCTTTTTGAAACGTCCTCTTCCTATTTGATCTATAGTCTGAATAACTTCAACAGCCATCCAGCCTTCCGTTCCCTTCGAATCAGTATGAGCTGTGGTTTCATCTTCGTTCAGAACACGACTTATTCCAAAATCTGCCAATCTTATGTGACCGTCGACATCAACCAGGATATTTGATGGTTTGAGATCTCGATGCAAAATTCCTTGATCATGAAGAAATTTAAGTCCAGTTAACATTTCTTTGATCAATCTTCGACCGTGAATTCGTAGATGGTGAAGATTTTGAGAATGCACATGGTCATCCAATGTTTCTTCACAGAGATCAACAACCAGGTACATAAATCTAGTGTCCTTAAAAAAATGCCGATAACTCACTATAAATGGTGATTTCTTCGTATTAATGAGACTAAGGATGTTTTTTTCATTTTCTGCTGCATCTTTACATGAATCCATCAGCATCCGCTTTACAGCCACTTCACTGCCATTTTCCAAGATACCAACATAAACGGACGTGCCCATAGAACCTCTCCCTAGTGAGAAACGTTTTTCCTCGGCAAAAGTCTTTAATGGAGGTCCAACCTACAGTACAGGCAAGAAGAAAGTATTCAGTGAGTTTCAGATAGTGATACATGGCACAGTCTATTCTACATTAGAGAGTTTACGATTGGCGACTCGTTGTACGAAGACGCGGTAAAAAATCTGGTAAACAGCGCGGTCGGAGTGTCATCGTTGTCTCGTGTAAGTTAAGTTACGAATCATGACGACAAACCACGACGTACGTTTATATTTTAAATTCAAATTGGAGGATCAACTTTTGATGATGGACGATGAAAATATGATTGGTGAAGAATTCTTGCTGTTGTTAGGGGAGAACGAACGCAATAACTTACACATTGGTCTTCCACACTGGAAATACGATAGATTTAACGTTGAGGGTGTGAGAGAAGACGAGTGCGAAGTTGAAATGCGATTCAAGAAAAACGATATTTACAACTTGGCTTGAGCTTTGAAATTACCTGAAGTTTACTGGTGCTATACGAAAGTACTCACGACTGTTTTACGATCGTGACCAACCGTGGTTGTCTTTAGAAAAACTTCAACTCTATGCGACTGCGATACATAATAAATGTTCTGCACTTGACAACTGCTGGGGGTTTGTCGATGGAACAGTTAGACCAATTCCTCAAACAAAGCGGAATCAAAGGGACGTTTACAATGGCCACAAGCGAGCATACGCTTTAAAGTATTAGTCCCCAAATGACTTGATAGCCTGTTTGGCCCTGTCGAAGGAAAGCGACATCACAGCAGATACTGGCAATGCCAGATATTTTAGAGAAGTTTCAGGAACACTCTTATTACCTACTGGTGAAGTACCCTGTTTGTCTCCTGATTCAGTTTATTAACAGTAAACGAGCAGGAGGTCAATCGATCGATGAGCAAGGTCAGAGTATCTGTTGAATGGGTTTTCGGGGACATAGAGAACTACTTTAAATTCATTGATTTAAAAACCCCTCAAAATTGGTCTATGTGATATGTGCTCAACTAAAACATGCCCTTTCATGCCTGTATGCAAACACAACATCAACATAGTTCCAGCTGGTTCCACCTAATCTCAACGAATACTTACAATACGAACAGATGGACACTGCAGAGGTGGAAAATGTTTTTTTTCGGACACTGAGACACTGATCAACACAAAAACACTAACTTATAGTCACTGCAAGTTTGAAATATTTAAGTTACAGCTACGGCAATGCTACATATAATAGTATCCTATCTTAAGCTCTGTCCTTCTAAAATGTTTTGTGCCAACATTATATTATTAGGCCGTTGGATGAGGGTCGAAAATGTTCAATTCCGTAGCACCCCTCGTGTAACTACATAATTTTTACATGAATGGATGGATTAGAAATTACTTAGTTAGAATCGACTTCCCCCCAAGCACAAATTGAAGTACAACCTCTCCAAAGTAGAGGCTTCCTCGAATTTTGAAATCCGTGAACCGCCATTGTTGTGTTGCAAAATGTACTTCTTATGTCCCAAGCTGAACGGACGTGTCTTGGAAGCTCTGCGATATTTTTGAAGATATACTAAGCTAAAACCGATCAATATGTCTCAAGGTGACATAACTAAAATAAATCCACTAAGTTTCACAAATAGAAAACTTAAATGGCTTGGTGATTTTGATTTATTTGAGAAATTTGTTAATGACATATTAAACATCAAAGGCGAGTGGAAGGTTCCGCGTGGCGGTTGTAAACAGCTGAAGACGAAAGATATCACTGTACGCTGGTACGAAAACCGAAGTGTGTTGTTGGATGGTCCCATGAAAGATGAATACTCCGATATTCTGCAAAGAATAGCCACTATTTCACCGAATAACATAAGCAATTTGGGAGTTGACGACTTTGCTGATGTCTCACCCACGCATATGCCTTCCCTGCCGAATATTAATAGCTTTATGGTAAATACGAACATGTCGAATGCTGAACTGTTCGATTTTGATGCTTCTCAAAATGACTCTGCACACTTTTCAACTAATAATGGCGCTACAAATGGATCTGAGCAAACCCTTAAAGGAATTTCGATATGTGTGGAGGGAAACGCACTGGATGATGTTATGAATCGCTTGAATGCATTGTCTAACGATATTTGAAATATCCAGGTAAAACAACTATAGAAATAACTAATGAGCTTGCCAAAATTAATATTAAACCGGAGCCGTCTCATGTTGTTATTCACGCAGGGACAAATGATGTCCCTGTTGAATCTATAGACGAATGTGTTGGTAACATGGAAAAACTTATTACAACAGCTAAACAGAAATTCCCTAATTCTAAAATTGGAATTTCTGGACTTTCATTGAGACAGGATAGTGATTTAATATCAAAAATAGAAGAAATTAATGAGAAAGTTCAGAGTTTGTCATCTAAGCATGATGTGACATTTATAAGTAATATGTCAATAGATGAGACATGTTTGAACTCTAGTGGCCTGCATCTAAATGCAAAGGGGACTGCCATACTAGCTACACATTTTATTAAGTTCCTTAGGGATGGACAATCCTTAAGTTCACTGCGCCCACAAAAACATTCCTGTCAGGATTTTCCAAAGAACACAATAAACCATCTGGCAGAACTACTAAATGCGATAATGAACGTGAACAAGTAAATTGTCAAGATGTGCCAAGCAATTCTTTATTAAGCATAGATAGTGAAATTAACATAATCGCCAAAAGTAAAGGTTTGAAGATAGCCAACTTAAATGTAAATAGCTTAATGAAACATCTGGATGAAATTCGCTTAATCCTTAACAATAACGCCCTTGACATTCTTGCAATTAATGAGTCCAAAATTGATAATCAGATTTCAAATAATGAGATACATATTGATGGTTTTAATATAATTCGTAAAGATCGAAATAGGGTTGGGGGTGGTGTGGTTCTATATGTTCGCCAAAACATATCATTCTCAGATAGAATAGATCTAATCCCTGATGAACTTGAGATGGTCTGCATTGAATTAAGTTTACCCTACAATAAATCACTGCTAATAAGCACATGGTATAGACCACCAAATTCTCTTATGAATAAATTTGATTACTGGGCAAGCTTTTTAGCAAAATGTGATAATGAAGATAAGGAGCTAATCCTCATAGGAGATCTAAATTGTGATGTCAGTAAAACTATACCTGACCCTCACACATGTAAGTTGCAATTTTTATGTTCTCTGTATCAGATAGACCAACTTATTAAAGAATCTACAAGGCTAACTCCTAAATCAGCTACACTAATTGATTTAATATTAACAACTAGACCAGAAAATATTTCCAGATCAGGTGTCATTCACCTGGGAATTTCAGATCACAGCCTTGTCTACGCTGTGAGAAAATTTACACTACCGAATGGAAGGCAAAAAATTCGTCAGGTTCGTAACTTTAAAAACTTTGTCGAAAATGATTTCATTCGGGATGTGTCTCAATTGCCTTGGGAGATGGTCTATCAGTTTGGAGATCCCAATTTATGTTGGCAAGTCTGGAAATCACTATTATTAGATGCACTTATAGACATGCCCCTCTGCGCCACAAGCGAATAAGGAATAACCCTGTCCCATGGATTAATCCTCAAATTAAAGAACTTATGAGAAAAAGGGACTATCACAAAAAAAAGGCCATAAAATATGATTCGGAGTCACAGTGGGAATTGTATAAAACACTACGTAATGAAGTAAATATAAACATGCGGAAAGCAAAATCTAAGTACTTTTGTGATAAAATCCAGGCAAGCTCTCAAATGGGAGACAGTAAAAGTGGATGGGCTTGGATAAATTCGCTCTTAGGAAGAAAGCATAAGAATGCAAATATTAATGAACTGAAAGTAAATGATGATATTATTTCTGATGATAAATCTATTACTGAAACATTAAATTAATATTTTATAAATATTGGAATGAAGATGGCTGCTGAATCAGCATGTCAAAGCACTGATGCTTTAAATGATCAAGTAATTTATGAAAGTACTGTGCTTCTTCCTAAAGAAAATTTTCACTTCGCAGATATTACTATAGATAGTGTTTCCAAACGCCTACAAAAACTAAATGTCTCAAAAGCGACAGGTATGGATGGAATACCTGCGAATATTTTAAAACTGACATCAACCCTTATTGCTCCATCTATAACTTTTATATTTAACCTATCGATTAGAACTGGTATTTATATAAATGAGTGGAAATTGGCTAGAGGTATACCAATTTACAAATCTGAGGATAAGCGTAAATGCGAAAATTATAGACCAATTTCAATTCTTCCCATAATAAGTAAAATATTTGAAGGGGAAGTTTTTACTCAAATATATAGCTTTTTGAATAAACATGCGCTTCTGTCTAAATTTCAATCCGGGTTTAGACCAAAACATGGAACCTTAGGTGCTCTTATACAAATGTGTGATCAATGGCTACAAGACATGGATGAAGGCAAAATAAATGGAGTTGTTTTTCTTGATATATGTAAAGCATTTGACTCGGTGAATCACGAGATATTATTGAAGAAGCTTAAAACCCAGTTTGGAATTCACGACATTGAATTAAAATGGTTCCAATCATACTTAAGGAATAGAAAGCAAGTGTGTTCTGTTAATGATCAAACTTCTTCTGCAAGAACAATAATATGCGGAATTCCGCAAGGATCCATACTTGGTCCATTATTGTTTTTGCTATATATTAATGATATGCCTGACATTAATTTTAGAAAGGACAACCCCATGTCTTTATGCCGACGACACTCAGATATCTTCCTCTTCGCATGATTACGATACATTGATTGACAATTTGAATATGGACCTTTCAAGTATTCATAAATGGCTTGCTAAAAACAAACTAAAATATCATAGGAAAAAAACAAAAGTCATGTTCATTGGATCTACGCATAATCTAAATCATAAAATAGGAAATAGACCCGTTGAGATTAACAAAATCCCAGTCCCACAAACCAATACATTTAAATGTCTAGATGTAAATCTAGATGAAAAATTAAGTTGGGAGAAACATATTGATTCTGTATGCCATAAGATTAGCGCTGGAATAGGAGCAATTAAAAGAATAAAACCTTATGTTCCACACAAAACCTTACATGATGTCTACAAAACATTAATTCAGCCTCATTTTGATTACTGTTCTCCCTGTGGGATAACTGTGGTTTGGGACTTCAAGACAAATTGCAAAAATTCCAAAATCGAGCAGCAAGGGTGATTACCGGAGCTGACTACGATGTAAGATCGTCTGAAGTCCTAAACAAATTAGGCTGGGAACCCCTGGCTAGGAGACGAGAACAAAACAAGCTAGTATTGATGTATAAAGTCTTGGGGAACCACACTGCGCCAAACCTTAAAGATCTTTTTTCTCGGAGAAATGCATCGCAGAATATTTATGATTTACGCAATAGCGAAAATGATCTCTCGTTAAAAAAACCGAAAACGGAATTTCTAAAGAAAACATTTGGATACAGTGGAGCAATTCTATGGAATAGTCTCCCGCAAGATGTCAAGGCAGC